CTAAGGCCAGATGACAGTGCTGGTCCATTCAGGTACATGTGTCTGCTTTGAACCAGATGGAACTAAGGCCAGATGACAGTGCTGGTCCATTCAGGTACATGTGTCTGCTTGAACCAGATGGAACTAAGGCCAGATGACAGTGCTGGTCCATTCAGGTACATGTGTCTGCTTGAACCAGATGGAACTAAGGCCAGATGACAGTGCTGGTCCATTCAGGTACATGTGTCTGCTTGAACCAGATGGAACTAAGGCCAGATGACAGTGCTGGTCCATTCAGGTACATGTGTCTGCTTGAACCAGATGGAACTAAGGCCAGATGACAGTGCTGGTCCATTCAGGTACATGTGTCTGCTTGAACCAGATGGAACTAAGGCCAGATGACAGTGCTGGTCCATTCAGGTACATGTGTCTGCTTGAACCAGATGGAACTAAGGCCAGATGACAGTGCTGGTCCATTCAGGTACATGTGTCTGCTTGAACCAGGTGGAACTAAGGCCAGATGACAGTGCTGGTCCATTCAGGTACATGTGTCTGCTTGAACCAGATGGAACTAAGGCCAGATGACAGTGCTGGTCCATTCAGGTACATGTGTCTGCTTGAACCAGATGGAACTAAGGCCAGATGACAGTGCTGGTCCATTCAGGTACATGTGTCTGCTTGAACCAGATGGAACTAAGGCCAGATGACAGTGCTGGTCCATTCAGGTACATGTGTCTGCTTGAACCAGATGGAACTAAGGCCAGATGACAGTGCTGGTCCATTCAGGTACATGTGTCTGCTTGAACCAGATGGAACCTAAGGCCAGATGACAGTGCTGGTACATTCAGGTACATGTGTCTGCTTGAACCAGATGGACCCTAAGGCCAGATGACAGTGCTGGTACATTCAGGTACATGTGTCTGCTTTGAACCAGATGGAACTAAGGCCAGATGACAGTGCTGGTCCCATTCAGGTACATGTGTCTGCTTGAACCAGATGGAACTAAAAGGCCAGATGACAGTGCTGGTCCATTCAGGTACATGTGTCTGCTTGAACCAGATGGAACTAAGGCTTGATGACAGTGCTGGTCCATTCAGGTACATGTGTCTGCTTGAACCAGATGGAACTAAGGCCAGATGACAGTGCTGGTCCATTCAGGTACATGTGTCTGCTTGAACCAAGGTGGAACTAAGGCCAGATGACAGTGCTGGTCCATTCAGGTACATGTGTCTGCTTGAACCAGATGGAACTAAGGCCAGATGACAGTGCTGGTCCATTCAGGTACATGTGTCTGCTTGAACCAGATGGAACTAAGGCCAGATGACAGTGCTGGTCCATTCAGGTACATGTGTCTGCTTGAACCAGATGGAACTAAGGCCAGATGACAGTGCTGGTCCATTCAGGTACATGTGTCTGCTTGAACCAGATGGAACTAAGGCCAGATGACAGTGCTGGTCCATTCAGGTACATGTGTCTGCTTGAACCAGATGGAACTAAGGCCAGATGACAGTGCTGGTCCATTCAGGTACATGTGTCTGCTTGAACCAGATGGAACTAAGGCCAGATGACAGTGCTGGTCCATTCAGGTACATGTGTCTGCTTGAACCAGATGGAACTAAGGCCAGATGACAGTGCTGGTCCATTCAGGTACATGTGTCTGCTTGAACCAGATGGAACTAAGGCCAGATGACAGTGCTGGTCCATTCAGGTACATGTGTCTGCTTGAACCAGATGGAACTAAGGCCAGATGACAGTGCTGGTCCATTCAGGTACATGTGTCTGCTTGAACCAGATGGAACTAAGGCCAGATGACAGTGCTGGTCCATTCAGGTACATGTGTCTGCTTGAACCAGATGGAACTAAGGCCAGATGACAGTGCTGGTCCATTCAGGTACATGTGTCTGCTTGAACCAGATGGAACTAAGGCCAGATGACAGTGCTGGTCCATTCAGGTACATGTGTCTGCTTGAACCAGATGGAACTAAGGCCAGATGACAGTGCTGGTCCATTCAGGTACATGTGTCTGCTTGAACCAGATGGAACTAAGGCCAGATGACAGTGCTGGTCCATTCAGGTACATGTGTCTGCTTGAACCAGATGGAACTAAGGCCAGATGACAGTGCTGGTCCATTCAGGTACATGTGTCTGCTTGAACCAGATGGAACTAAGGCCAGATGACAGTGCTGGTCCATTCAGGTACATGTGTCTGCTTGAACCAGATGGAACTAAGGCCAGATGACAGTGCTGGTCCATTCAGGTACATGTGTCTGCTTGAACCAGATGGAACTAAGGCCAGATGACAGTGCTGGTCCATTCAGGTACATGTGTCTGCTTGAACCAGATGGAACTAAGGCCAGATGACAGTGCTGGTCCATTCAGGTACATGTGTCTGCTTGAACCAGATGGAACTAAGGCCAGATGACAGTGCTGGTCCATTCAGGTACATGTGTCTGCTTGAACCAGATGGAACTAAGGCCAGATGACAGTGCTGGTCCATTCAGGTACCTTGCTGCAGCTGCACAGGGACAGCTCAATCACATGATGCTGAGGTCGATCCTACCAGTCCCCTAAACACCTAGAGCCAGATAAGGCAACATCAAGTACTATTTAACGATGGTTGGTATGACATGGCGAGCAGATCAAACAGGGCCCAATGTTCCTCACCACAACCCATTGGTGTTTATATTCCCACTGGGGACCACAGACCACGACACTAACCAACCCCAGTCACTTGGCCATTTGCTGTGGACCGTGAATTCTGTGACTGGAGTTGCCTCCCTTAGTCCACTGATAAAACTGAAATGTGATCATTGTACAAACTTTCTGTCTGTGTCTTTGTAGTTTTGAGTGACTGTACACTACTTACCTACCTGTCTGTACACTACGTACCTACATGTCTGTACACTACGTACCTACTTGTCTGTACACTCACGCACCTACAGTTGTCTGTACACCACGCATCTACTTGTCTGTACACCACGCACCTCTGTACACTTCGTACTACCACGTACACCACGCATCTAGTCGTTCGTACACCACGCACCTACCTGTCTGTGCCACACACCTACTTGTCTGTACACTACGCACCTACCTGTCTGTACACCACGTCTGCCGTACCTACGCATTACAGTCTGTACACCACGCACCTACTTGTCTGTACACCACGCACCTACCTGTCTGTACACTCACGCACCTACCTGTCTGTACACTCACGCACCTACCTGTCTGTACACTACGCACCTACCTGTCTGTACACCACGCACCTACTTGTCTGTACACTACGTACCTACCTGTCTGTACACTACGTACCTACCTGTCTGAACACTACGTACCTACCTGTCTGTACACTACGTACCTACTTGTCTGTACACTACGTACCTACCTGTCTGTACACTACGTACCTACTTGTCTGTACACTACGTACCTACTTGTCTGTACACTACGTACCTACCTGTCTGTACACTACGTACCTACCTGTCTGTACACTACGTACCTACTTGTCTGTACACTACGTACCTACTTGCCTGTACACTACGTACCTGATTGTCGACATAGTGGTCACATCCATAGCACCACACAGACAGATCTGCATAACTCAGCACCATTAGGTGGGTCTCCTCGATGCCGTGAAATAACATGTGCTCGTTAACAAAACGGCTACAAAACACCTGTAAGGTAAAGACAGCATATTAGTGCAATTTGCTAAATGGAAAACCATATAAAAATTCAAACAGAAACATTTATAGGCAAAATTTATGGTAACTGAGTGTAATAAATTGTTTGATAGGCATTTCTTAAGAAGTAGACTGATACACAAAGTAGAGAAGTTAGGAATTTGCTGAGAATAAATTGTGTCTGCCTTGACTTGTCCATTGAAAAGGAGGAATCAGATTTACTCTAACCAGCTGCAATTATTTCAAATTACAGGTAGAAGATTGCATCAGTTTACAGCTTGACATGTACCATGTTCTTCAACCACTGAGACCCCTCATTCAGCAGCTAATGATTAGGCAGGTAGTGTCAGTGTTGCTTGAAGGGCCTCACCTGCTGCAGGAACTGTACGGAATCCCCTCTCATATCTTACCTGGGGAGGATTGCAGGTATCACACCGTACCAATTCACCTCTTGTATGATCTAATGTTTGCCAATGAATCATTTCCTCAATCCTTACAGATTTCAAATACATTCAAATGTAGACAATTTTCCCATTCATTTTCTAAATTTTCCACAGAGATAGAGCCAGTTTGGTTAGTTCTGTGACTCATCTAAATATACTGATAAGGTACATCACACTTTACACCAGGGTGCCATTGTGCAGAGCCATCTTAGAGCTAAACTGGCCATAAGTCCCATACATTAACATAGACTTATGGTAGTTTTTATAACAGCACCCTGAGCCAGATTCATTATGACAGCAGAAGAAAAACAGGTGCTGCTTACTTGCTGCTTATTTGCCTTGTTACACATAGGCACTAGTGGTGTTCCGGTTAATTGAAATAATCGAAGATTGGTCGCAGTGACCGAACGACCAAGCAATCGATCACATTTTCTCATAATCGAACACAAACGATTTTGGAACTACTGTTTTAGTCTTTGAAACACTTGACGATGGAACATATCTTCGAAGTTGTCAGGGCCTGAAAACGTGTTTAATTCTTAGAAAACTCACTTCACTAATTGAAAAGTTATGACTAAATATTTCTGTAAGACTCCGGGAAGTTTATGGTCATGATATATTAGTCATCACTTTAAAGTAGCAAGTTGCATCATGTTATACATATCTGCAATAACAACCTGGATAGGAAAATCTGAAAAATGATGCTAACCAATTCTTTTCGATGATTGTTCGTTGGTAATGAAGCAATCATCAATTGTGAGATTTCAACCAATTCCCAGCACTAATAGGCATACAACACCGGGGTCAATGGTGTCCCTTACCTTGTAACACACAGACACACATCACAGGGGTCAACTGTGTCCCTTACCTTGTAACACACAAGACAGGCCCAGTTCTCAGACTGGTCTCCACACACATCACAGGGGTCAGATGTGTCCAAGCTATGGACTGGTAGGGGCTGCACAGTCTCCAGATGGGGGCACCATGTTAGGGGCTGAACTGCATACATAGTCTCAAAGTTCTGGAAAATTACAAATATCAACCCTTAACTTTTGTGGCATCCATTTTGAAACTGTTTTTCACATCATTCAAGTGTTTTTGTGTCACGATCACTGCTTCCACTGTATTGCAGTTTGAATTTTTGCAAATTAAACAAGAGTTACCAAGAGATGACAAATCCTCCTGTCTCCCACACTATGATAGAGGTAATCATCTGTCTGTTTACAGGTCATTGAGCTATAGAAGAAAGGGATAGAGATAAGGAGTGCCATCATTTGTAACCACTGGCTGAGAGAACTCTTTATTCATAGTGCAGTTACATGTATACAAACATCAATGAAGTTGTAAAAAGTATCTAAATTTCTCTCAAATGCCAGCTTAGAAGTGGTAATTGAAGAAAAATTTGGTTGTTTGGAGATAAGCCATAAAAATACCCACGTCTCTGTTAACTATAACAACAAGAACACAAAGTCAACAATATCCCCCCCGCAACGGCAAAATACTCTTCACAAATATGTCTACTAGTTATGATTATGTCAAACGTTTTGAAGTGTGTATAGCAAAGTGGAAGGAGAGTATTGAAAGGTTTTTAAGATCTGCTCCAGAAAGGAGCACTACCACCAAATTCAGTTGAAGCCTAACTTGTTGCCATGGAAATGCAACAAGATGACATCCTCATAGTCACAGCCTAAGTCACGTTTCCACGGAAACCAAAAAACAACAAATTTGTATGTGTTTATAACCATCAAATGGCACGTCTATGGATCATGTTTGATATGTGTACCAAGTTTGATGAAGCTAGCATGTATAGTTTGCAAAATCTGCTCCGGACAAGATGACATCCTCATAGTCACAGCCTAAGTCATGTTTCCATGGAAACAGCAAAAAATAAAATTCATATCTGGGTCTAACCCCCCAAAGGCACATCTAGGGATCATACTTGATATGTGTACCAAGTTTGATGAAGCTAGCATGTATAGTTTAGGAAATCTGCTCCGGACAAGATGACATCCTCATAGCCACAGACTAAGTCACGTTTCCATGGAATTCGCTAAAAAGTAAAATTCATATCTGGGTCTAACCCCCAAAAGGCATATCTAAGGATCATGGTTGACATGTGTACCAAGTTTGGTTATGCTATTATGAATAGTTTAGGAGATATGCTTCCTACAAAGTGTGACGGACGGAAGGACGGAACTTGTGTCTATATCACCCGCAACTTCGTTGTTGCGGGGGATAATAATGGCCATTTATATTTAAAGCGCTAACACATTATTACCCAGGATAACCCAAACTGCCTGTGAGGCGCTAGATAACTCGTCCCACCGGGTATCCACTTTCTGCTGGGTGAACAGAGGCAATTTTGAACAAACTCACTTGCCTAAGGTGAGACCACATGTGTCATATGTGCTTTGTTGTGGGGCAGAACTCTCAGGAGTCAACCTGCCAAACACGGTCACCCATCCAAGGACTGTCCACGCTCAACGTTGCTTTACTTCAACTGAGTTAAGTCAAATCAAGCTTGTTGCCATGGTAACAGGGAAAATAAAAATTCTACAATCCCTAAATATCAAAAGTTGAAAACCTGATCAATGTGTGTGTAGAGTTTTGTGAATGAATACTTATTAGTTTTAGCGATATGATCTGGACAAGGACACTACTATTAACAGCCAAATTTGTTGCCATGGTTACAGGAAAAACCAAAATTCTACAAAATCCTAAATATCAAGAGGCACCATTTGAAAGCTTGATCAATGTGTGTGCAAACTTTTGTGCATGAATACATATTAGTTATAAGGTCCAAACAAGAAATTATTACCGATGGACAGATGGACAGACAAGCTGTTTACTATATCACCCCCCACCCTCCCCTATCAGCAATATAGTATCAGTATTTTACTTCCCCACACCAACATCCCACACACCTATATTGGGGGGACCACAGACTGATGATGTCTGTCTTCACCTGCATGTAAACAGTTTAAATACCAGCATGTGCTCCAGGCTGCTCACAACAGACAGCATCCATGATTGGGACGTAGCTGATTCCATACCCACCTTGGCATGGTACTGAAACCATCCTCTCTGTCATGAGTGTTTAATGAGGGAGTGTTCAGTCCACACAATTCATGATTCAGTGTTTGCCACACCACTATTCTGGATTGAGAGGGAGTGCTCACCTGGTGCAACTTGTACCAGAATGGGTCTGTCATAAGTGAGTGAATTGTCATCAACCCAAACACTGTGTTCTGAAATATTTTTTTTAATCCATGAAGATCCAGCTTAGAATTGGTCTTCAGGAACCCATGCTTGTCACAAGAGGCAACAACCAACCAACCAACCAACCAACCATCATAAATAGTTTTCATTCTTGCCCCCCTTCTTTCCCGGATTCAGGCATCTGTTTTAACTGGCTCAGCTTGTTGTAGTAGAAAGTGGAATTAGTGAGTGAATACGGTTATACCTTCGGCAATCTTTTAACCATGAAAGTGTATACCATGAATGAGATTCACACAGTTTACCAATGTTAAGTATTGAACCCCACACTTCAGTGTGATGAGCCAACACATGAACCACTGGGCTACCTCCCTGGTCTAACGGTGTGAGTAAACGTCAATATGTATAGACAGACACAACATACGAGTATATGGTCCCTGGTATACTCTAACCTTTGCTCAGTGATCATGAAACAAGAAACATCTATAGTATCACAGATGTCCAAGCTATTGTTAAATGCACTGAATTACAGCTGAATCTGAAAGTCAACTTTATTGTTCTTTTCGATGACAAAAAACTTACTTCTAAGGAGTGACTATTATCTCCACATTTATACCGTTTTTACTGTTTCAGTAGCGAGGTATTGTGCTTCTGTTGTTATTTCCACAATTAATGTGCATTTTTCGTGCGTTTTTCTGCACAGTGGGAAAGTTTTCTTTGGTAGGCCTGTACTATTTAAGATTAAAACAGTAAAAAGACTATGATTCGTTGATGATGCAAAATGGGATGTGCCCTACAATAAAATGCAATAAATGAAATGACCAGACAGTGGGGAGTACTTAATTTACTGGATGCATGGAAGAAGATTATATAAAGATATCAAAATAGCAGAGCTTGTATAAGGGCTAACTCTCAATGAGCCTAAGTTGAAGTATTAGTTTACAGATGATGACAGGTTATTTATTTTCAGATTAAGGCAATTTATTAAACAATATAAACATAACATTTGCCTTATTGAACAGTGTGTCTAAGAGATGAATTCTTGTTACCTAAGGCTAGGATTTTTCTAGAAATATCTTTTAAACTATGTAGTTGTAATTTATACCGATTTGATCGGTATGTCTTTAAGATGGGTGTTTATTATCTTAGACTGGTGTCTTTCTCTAAGCTCTTACTGATAATGGTGAAACTAATATTCTATATTTACACTTTCCTAATAACTGAATCCTAATATATCTCTTAGAAAATTATAGCTTGTATAACTTATTACTCCATGATAATAAGATGAATTATGATCATGACATTTTTCCTAAAACAGTATATCTAATACATCTGGAAGCTCCTGATGTGGCAGCCATATTCCACTGATTGAAATATTTTTGTCTTAAACGATACTGACTGATTGTTTCAGCCCACTGATAGGTGTATTGATTCAGGTTGGAGGGCTGAGGGTTTGCTGACCAGTGGCGGTCGATGCTTCACACATTGGGGATTACAGAACCACAGACATCCTAACATGGGAGGCGCTGATACTTAGTCCCAGAAATAAAGTTGTATTTTTCAAAAACAAATGTATCTGAAAAATATATATAATAATCCAAAATCTATAATAATCTAAGATACATAAAATCCATATAGAGCCCAGAAGAATTCTTAATTTTAGGAGCCATGAGCTGAGGCAATGTAGACTCACCCAATCATTCTAGACTGGAGGGACTTACACTTAGACTCCAGGGTCTGGGAGATTCATTCTACGATGACTGAAGGTCCATTTGTGCTGGACTTACACTTATTCTCCAGGCCTACAATGTTCACAGAACATGAACACACAGTCTGGAGATTGACAGTCTACAGATGACTGAACATTTGTGAACTGCACTATCTACATACACAGACACTTTGACAGTCTACAATGTTCACAGAACATGAACACACAGACGCTGTGACTGTCTACAATGTTCACAGAACATGAACACACAGACACGGTGACAGCCTACAATGTTCACAGAACATGAACACACAGACACGGTGACAGCCTACAATGTTCACAGAACATGAACACACAGACACGGTGACAGCCTACAATGTTCACAGAACATGAACACACAGACACTGTGACAGCCTACAATGTTCACAGAACATGAACACACAGACACTGTGACAGCCTACAATGTTCACAGAACATGAACACACAGACACTGTGACAGCCTACAATGTTCACAGAACATGAACACACAGACACTGTGACAGCCTACAATGTTCACAGAACATGAACACACAGACACGGTGACAGCCTACAATGTTCACAGAACATGAACACACAGACACAATGGTGACAGCCTACAATGTTCACAGAACATGAACACACAGACACGGTGACAGCCTACAATGTTCACAGAACATGAACACACAACTTGATACCTCTCACCCTCTCAACATTCAGCAATTACAAAATTACTTTTCCATGAACCGATCTTTAAATGTTTCAATTACACAGTGTACGAGAGATTAATGTGCAATACTGTTTATGTCTTCATTAAGTTGAGATAACAACTGGAAACAACTAATAACATGTTTGTCTGTCTAGAACAACAGGAAGAAAAAAAAACTTCGTTAAGAAACTGAATCTGTAATCGAGGATAAACCCACAAAGTTCTCAAGCCAAGGGGCATAACTCTGTACAGTAATTTGTTCAAAAGCACCTTAGTATCTACACCATTATAGAGATTTGAAAACAGGAATGAACAGTAAGCACAAGATCAGCAATCGCCCTGGACAGCCATCGTCTTGGGAGGACCCTTTCCT